GTGTGTGTGTGTGTTTTTTTTTTTTTTGGTCGTTTTCCATCTTCCGGAGGCATTTTCTTCCTTTAGGCTCTAGCACGAGTGGCTTGTAGAGATTGTGGCAGACAGACATTGAGAAATCCTACACGAAACTCCATTGTAAGTGCTTTGCCGCACACACACGAAAAGAGATTCCCAACAGATCGAGTCAAACATATTACGCTCAGTGGAATCTCCTATTCCTGTACATTTGATCGTGAAGAATCAAATCAAACTACTACTGAATCGATTTACCTTTAGCACGGAGAGTAGACAAAATGAATCTATTTCTGGTTCTTTTTTTTTTTCCCCCTTTTTTGGGTTTAACAGAGCTAGAAAGAGAAAGTTGGACGAGAAAAAGAAAATCCGTTTAAAGGCCGTCAAAGTGTACTTTCTCGTAATATGAAATCTATACGTAGTCTTCGGACCTAATATCTGATAACCTGACTTAATTATGCTGAAAATTAATTTATTAAGAGTTTTTTAAATTCGAGATGTTTAATAATGGAAGTACCTTACCACTTTAATACATTAAGCAATGCATAATTTTTGTTCGCTTTTTTAGAAAAATATTTTTGTTGAATTTGCTGAATTAACCCACAAAGCAAGACTTTATTTATTTATTTTTTTTTTAGTGCTCTTTCTCTGTTACACGGAAACAACTTTTTCTCTCACACACATGGATACACATTTTTCTTCTAGCATACATAAGAAAATGGGATAATTGCACAAACCTCCCCTGAGGCTTCTGATACTTGCACTGACACTCCTTGAGGTTTTAAAAATTTTATTGACCTCCCTTGGTAGAGAAGGGAAATTACCAATTTGCTTACATCATGATAGTTGAAATTACCACTTTGTCTTATAAAGTTGGGACTAATAACTAACGTAAATTTGGGAAACAAATGCACTTGAATTAGTTAATTATACTTAATTAGAATAACTGAAATTTTATATCCAATTAAGTTGATTAAAACTCCATTACATAAAGGCACCAATTGAGGAAGAAATTCGGCGCCATATTTGTGACTCGTATGATGTGACAAAAGATGATTGAACAAGTTTTTGATATTGTAGCCATAAAACTAGAAGCGAAGAAATAGAGAAGAAAAAATCAAAGGAAAAAGAAAATGGAGACAAAGTGAACATATATTGTTCATCTGTTGGGAGTGAAGGTGATTTAAAACAAAAATCAAGGTATGAATTTTCTTTTCACCTTAGCCTACTATTATAAAATGTTCTTGTGAATCAATTTCAAGAAAACTAGTATGCTATACTATGAACTGTTTTGCTTGATCAACAGATTTTTGAGTTAGTAATAAAGTTAAATTCCTATATTTTACGCATCCTGTTGTTACGTGTAAATTTATGCACACAAATACACACGTTTTCTCTCTTACATACACACTCCCTCTCTTTCTCTCTTGCCCACACGCTTAACGCCGCACCTCAATTGTTTTCTAATTTTGCTCTCACACACACACTTTTCTTTCTTTCTTGTCTACGACCAAGAAAAGGCAAAATTTTTGTTAAAGAAGATAAAATTATCATCATATGTCTTGCAACTTTTCACTTTAATACCTAGATTCTAGTATTACTTATGAAACAGACATAACATTATGAATTCGGCAACTTAATACTTTCAAATTTAAAATTTATAGATTACAACTTCATCAAATAAAACCTTAAAATTGAAATCCCACACCGAGTGTGTGGACAATGTTTCCCGGTACTCAAAGCCCATTAGTCATCCCAATAATTTACATTAAAGTTTGTGGACCGTGTAAGCAAATCCTTGTCACAAAAGACCCAAAAAAGAATCATTGGGCTTGCTTAACATGTACAAAGACGGAAATGTCTCGTTGAAATATGGACCACATGCACCAAATCAAGCTGGGCTCCTCTGCCCAAACTTGTATAACCGAGAAGAACCTGTATCAAAAATTTTACAAACACTTGGATCTTGAGCCCAGGGAACAAAAATCCCTGGTTTTTGCCGAGAAGAACTTGAATAAAAAATTACGTTCTTCATACACAAAATTTGGTTAAAAAAACAAAAATGAAGTTAATCGTGTTACGTGTATCAGGACGTGGTAATGACTAAAGTACTTATATATTCGGGGTATGCCATTCTTTATGGACAACTATTAAGTGTTTTAGATCAAAGTTTCACAAAGAAATTTACTTACTAGAATACTCAACCAAAGTCGGTGCATGTGTCGGACAGAAAAATTCTGGTCTCGCAAATATAAATAATTGGCAAAAGAATATGGATGTGAATATTGAAGATTTATCATTGGAACAGCCAACCGTTAAGAGTTCGGCATAGGCTGAACTTTCTCGCGTTGGTCATCTAACCTCTCCGATCCTTTATAGATTAGGAAGAAAATTCCAAGCTCTGGAAAAAGTAAACTGTCGTATCGTATATGGCAGTGTTTTGAAATCCTTTCAATCAATCAGATATACAAACTCTTTTTTTTTAGAATCAATATTTCAGCTTTACTCGCATTATTTACTGTTAAAGTAAATAAAAAATTATTAAACCTTTGAATCGAGATTGAACGGTCGAATTGCAAATTGAAAGCTCTTCTGGTACATTTTCGGTTCGACTTTTAAAACATCGGTATATGGTTTTAGCATTCATGGCCCTCTAGAAATTTTCTAGGCTATTCCAAAGGATTAGATGCTCCTTCTAATATTATTTGTTGTTTTCCCTACCGGAAAAGTGGAAGAGGTGGGTAGATTTCGTCACAACACGGAATATCTCCAAAAAAAAAAGAAGATGGTTTATGCTCCATTCAAATGATGGTTATGGACTATGATCTATAAATTTCATTAGTTAGTTGATGAAAATTCTCCTTAAGTTATCATCCATTTAAAATGTATCAATGCTCTAATAGAAGTACGATTATTAATCATTATTATTATTATTGACAACAGCAGTAACTACCACATACTTTCTTAAAACTCATTTTACCTCGACACACGAATGTGCTGATGATATCTGATTTGCCAGTAACTTATTGTACGGATGTCTCTAGTCTTCTTATTATATGCTTGTGCCGTGCACTTCACTCTGTCGACGTAAAATTGAATTGAGCAAAAGTTTGTCCTAACTAACTAACTCGTGGTCGTGGGGGCAAGGGTGAAATCTGACGGTTCAACTAGAAGTGAATCAAATAGTTTTTGTCATTGAAAATTTCAGTCAAACGACTGAAACATCTCTTCGAAAGCAGAACAAAGGGGCTGAAATCATGCAACGCCGCCGCATTGGCAGAGAAAACAAATAAAAATGGTCTGCCAAACACACAAAAACATAAACTACTTGCCACCCCAATGTTATTTATTAGTGGTGGTATTTAAGTTTCCGTCTCCAACGAGGAGCACGTGAGATAGATAACAGAGAGAGAACATGAGGACATGATATTAGTGGCGGCTGATATTGGTGCCAATCGGTTATTTATTAGCCGTGAAATCAAGTGATTAAATGCAATCCGTTTTGAAGGACCCACTCACTAAATCTCAAAAAAAAAAAAAAAAAAACGAAGAAAATGATTGTTTGGATAGCGGGTTATTTTTCCAAATATATTTGCTTACATCACCATTACAATTTCTAATACAGTTTTTTATTTTTTCAATTACCTTTTTATCTCACATACATCACATCACAAAAAATGTTACAGTAAAAATATCTCAAATAATTTACCATCCAAACAAATTCAAAATCTATTTTGAAATGTGAGAGATGGAGAAATTCATTTTGTGAAATGTGAGGAATGAAAAAATCATTTTATAAAATGTGAGGGACGAAAAAATTAATTTTATAAAATATGGAGAACTATAGATTAAATTATGTAAAATATAATTTGACAAATTTACCCTTAAAATCGTCCAAAACATCCCTCATATTTTGTAAAATGATTTTTTTCATCCCTCACTTTTAAAAGTGTAATTTTATGTCCCTTACATATTCACATCGGTCAAATTTAGTCCCTAATTAGATTTTCGATCATTTTTTTGCCGGGATCCATCGCGTGCAAGGCACGTGATCATTTTTTAAGGGTAAATTTGTCAAATTATATTTTACATAATCTAATCTATAGTCCTCCATATTTTATAAAATTAATTTTTTCGTCCCTCACATTTTATAAGATGATTTTTTCATCCCTCACATTTCACAAAATGAATTTCTCCATCTCTCACATTTCAAAAAATGAATATTTTCATCCCTCGCTAATTATGTGTGTGAGGGAAATCCTAAAAATATATATATGTGTCTGTGTGTGTGAATACATTTTGTTTAAACACATGTATATGTCTATTTGATTTTACTTAATAATACGAATAACATAAATATATGTATGTGTCTATTTGATTTCACTTAACAATACGAATATCATATATTATACGTGATCATTTGATTTCATCTGGTATTAGCTAGTAAAAAATCTTGCATTCATTGTCAAATTGGCCAATAAAGCTATTTTCGGTCAAAATACAATAAGAATATGTAAATTAAGGTTCTATTGGTAAATATTAGTCATAATCATACAAAAAGAGAAGATAGCCCATAAGTTGGGCCCAATTACATACATGTGTTTATACTATTATTATTAAACACAATCAAATAGACATATACACGTGTTTAAAAAAAATGTATTCACACATAATTAGTGAGAAATGAAAAATTCATTTTTTAAAATGTGAGGGATGGAGAAATTCATTTTGTGAAATGTAATGGATGAAAAAAATCATTTTATAAAATGTAAGAGACGAAAAAATTTATTTTATAAAATGTGGAGGACTATAGATCAGATTATGTAAAATATAATTTGACAAATTTACCCTTAAAAAATGATCATGTGCCTTGCACATGATGGATTCCGGCCAAAAAATGATCGGAAACCTAGTTAGGGACTAAATTTGATCGATGTGAATGACATGGGCCCTTCATTTTCTCAATAAATAGCACGTTCCAGGAAGGTCCAATCTGGCAAGAGTCAATGCTATTCATTGCTTGGACGCTACTAAGTACCAGAGTAGATATGATATCCGCTTCTGATTAGAATGTTACAGCTGCCGGCGCTGTACTCTCGTAACAAACTCCCCTGTCTTATCTCAAATAAAATTCATGAAAAAATAAAACTTGGAAGAATAATAAATGCAATATTTGGTGATAGGCAGTTCTTCTTCTTCATCTTTTTTTTTGGCTCTTGGGTGACAGGCAGTTTTCCATGCAGATACTGACATATATGCATAAAGATTTTTCTTTTTTTTTTGGGGGGTTTTGCATGAAGAATTACATCTGTACTGATCGTGCAGGAAGGTTACATGGTACCAGGAGCAAAATGCGAACCCCTGCCAAGAAATAAGCTGCTAAGCCCAGTCATTTTTCACGAAGGTCGTCTGGTACAAAGGCCTACACCTCTTGTGGCCCTGTTGACCTTCTTGTGGATGCCGATTGGGATTGTCCTCTCCATCCTTCGCGTTTACCTCAACATTCCCCTGCCCGAAAGAATTGTTCGGTACAACTACATGATTCTGGGAATCAAACTCGTTGTGAAGGGCAACCCACCCCCACCTCCGAAGGAAGGCAATAGCGGGGTCCTATTCGTCTGCAACCACCGCACGATCCTGGACCCCGTTGTTACGGCGGTGGCACTGAGAAGGAAGATCAGTTGCGTGACATACAGCATAAGTAAATTCTCAGAACTCATTTCACCGATCAAAGCCGTGGCATTATCTCGAGAACGAGAAAAGGATGCAGAGAACATCAAGCGTTTGCTTCAAGAAGGTGACTTGGTTATCTGCCCCGAGGGGACTACGTGCAGGGAGCCATTTCTGTTGAGATTTAGCGCACTCTTTGCCGAGCTGACAGACAGAATTGTCCCCGTCGCCATTAACACGAAACAGTCCGTATTTTATGGGACAACTGTGCGTGGGCACAAGTTTTTGGATCCGTACTTCGTTTTCATGAATCCCAGGCCCACCTACGAGATCGCCTTCTTGAATCAACTGCCCCCGGAACTGACTCGCCGAGGTGGTGGAAAATCTGCTATTGAAGTTGCCAACTACATCCAAAGGGTGCTCGCCGGCACGCTAGGCTTCGAGTGCACTAGCTTGACCAGGAAAGACAAGTATGCCATGATGGCCGGAACAGATGGCCGTGTTGAAAACAAGAAGGACAATTCCCATGAAATGAAATGAGCAGTCCTGAGTCCTCCATTTGTTTCCCCAAGTAGTATAATGTTTTCGAACCTTTTTCGTCGTATTCAAGCAAAAGAGGGGAAAAGAAAAACGAGAACAAAATAATTGTTGATCGTTATGATTAAGATCTTCATATGGTATAACGCACCACGTATATGCTATCTGGATTACATTACATGCATAAAGTCTACGTCCCAGTCTTGCTTAGCATGCAGTGCCTTAGACTTCTTCATATCCTTTTTGTCATATTATATTGGATTAAAAACAAAAATATTCCCCGTGATATATCTAATACACAGAAAAATCCCCTATAATTTCAAAACATACAAAACGATATCTCATGCTTGAACTAAATTATAAACTAATAGAATTCGTTAAATTTAACGGAAATGACGGTCTCGACTGTTAAACTTTGTCGAATTTCGTTAAGTTTATCGGATTCCGTTAAAATTAACGAATTTTATTAATTTACAATTTAACTCAAAACATAAAGTGACATTTTGTATGTTTTAAAACTACGGGAGACTTTTCTGTATATTAGATATACCAGTATCACAAAGGGATTTTTTTAATTTTTAACCCTATTATGTTAAGAAAAAGGGGGAAGAAAATTATTTCTTTTCATCAAGCTGCAGCAAGCAAGTCATTTTCAATAATGTTTTTAACTGCTTCAACTGTGCCCCAAAAGGGGGGAAAAAAAAAAACTTCCAGCGTACAAATTAAATGATATATTATTATGGCCATTTGACAGTTGTATGGTGCGTGAATCACATGGAAGCAATTAATAACGGAGGAAGTCTCATGGTCATTGGTCCTAGGGCTGTCAACGGGCCGGGTCCGGACCGGAATTCATTATTTCGGACCCGAATTACTATGTCGGATCCGGATCCGACCCGTTTATCCGACGGGTCTTTTATTCTATGTTCCGGATCCGGATCCGGGTCTACCCGAACAAATTTACCAAAATTTATAATTTCTAATAAAAATGAGAAAAAAATATATTTGTAAACTAATTTCTAACTAATGCAAAGAAAAAACCAAATAAGAAAAGAAATCAAATTAACTTTATTAAAATACATCACCCTAATCAAATTATATTGATAAATATATATTTTTTAAATTATTAATTCATTTATATCCGAATCTGGGTCTAATACGGGTCGGAATACTATATTCCGTATCCGGCCCGTTTTTTGTTTGACAAAACGGATCCAGATCCGGGAAACGGAATTAAATCCCTACCCATACCCACAATAATTTCATGGATCCGGGTCTAGACCCGACCCGTTGACAGGCCTAATTGGTCCTTTTTACAATACAATTTACGCCATAAAGCTTCTCGGGTAGAGTTAGACTGGGGATGTAATCTCAAGTCAATGCTTTTCCGTGGCAAGCGTGCTTCGAGTGATTTAGAAATCGTGATTTGAGGGCTTTTTTTTTTTTTTTTTTTACGGAGTGGGTATCCGAGCCTTTGACCCGACTAATCCCACTCCGACCTGAGAGAGGAGACCCCATTCCACTCCGAGCACGGTAGCAAGAGGGCTTGAGTCCTGATTACCCAGATAAATCTACCATACTCTAAAGAGGGGGAGCTGATCGCTCGAGTTAACCCTTGGAGGCGATTTGAGGGCATTCATTGATTGCCATCTTAGGATCTCCTGTAACTTATTCGAGAAATAATTGAAAAAAAAAAAAGAAAGAGAATTGTTGAGGTTTCTTCTTTACCAAATGCAAATCGAGTTATTTGCAAGGGAAATTTGCCAAATTGGTCCCTAACATTTACCAAAAACACTTTTTTAGTCCTTAACATAAAAAATCAGCCAAAATGATCCTTCACATTTAAATTATGAGCCAATTTGGTCCTATTGCTCGTTTTTGCTCATTTCTCCGCCTAAAAATAGCACCCCCCCTCACGTGGTCATATTTTTAGGGGCAAAACCGGAAAACACATTTCATTGAATATGACCGTCTTCATCGGTCTTCAGCTATGCCGGCAAGGCTGAGGCTGTTTATATTTCCGTTGAATGCCAACCCACCGCCGTCCGTGAGTAGTTTTGAGTCGGATGATTCCAAGGCTGAGAGGCAGTGGTTTGTTGATGCGTTGAATGCTGCGCAGATTAATCAGAATTTGGAGGGCTCTTCTCCGCAGTCTGTGGCGGTTTCTGGGGTGGAGGAGCCGGCGAGGAGTCCTGATTTTTTGTTTGGTTTGGAAAAGGGTCATCCCACGCCGGCGAAGTTGCAGGATCCTCCGCCAGTGGCCCCTACGGTTATGGTTCGGCAGGTGATAGGCGAGCCCGTGGTTCCTCCGGCGGCGGAGATTCAACGGCAGATGCATGAGTTGCAGAAGATGCAAATTTCAGGCCATGATCAAGATATGTACAGGAGGAAAGTCGATGAGTTTTACCAGCAAAAACCTCCACCCCAGGCTCCTCAGGCGGAGCAGGTTGCGCCGGTGACAACTCCGGCGACGTATTGGCAGGAAAGACAAGGGCCTTTTCCAGCTGGGGTTGGAGTTGGAGTTGGAGTTGGGGTTGGGGGAACCGAGCCTCCTCCTATGTACCTAATTCAAACTCCGGCGGTGATTAAATGAAGGAAAGATGGCTTCTTTTGACCGGTAATGAAATGTGTTTTCCAGTTTTGCCCCTAAAAATATGACCACGTGAGGGGGAGTGCTATTTTTAGCCGGAGAAATGAGCAAAAACGAGCAATAGGACCAAATTAGCTCATAATTTAAATGTGAAGGATCATTTTGGCTGATTTTTTATGTTAAGGACTAAAAAAGTGTTTTTGGTAAATGTTAGGGACCAATTTAGCAAATTTCCCTATTTGCAAATATAGATTTGAGGGTATATTCATCTTTATAGTCAAAGATTAAGATTCCGGCAACTAGAAAATTAGAGAGAGGGAGAGGGTTTCTTGTTCAGCCATGTGCATCTGAATCTTATTATCGAATGATCATTTTCTATATTTAAAACAAAAGAAACTCAATGCTCGTTGAAAAAGGATATTTTACAAGCAATATCATTTTGTTTCATAACCTAAAGAGGGAAACTTTTTTTTTTTTTTTAAAAAAACAAACAAGAACACATTTTTTGACAATTAATACTGCGTTTTGACTTGGGAGAGACGCTATTCTTACCTGATTATAGCAACTGATGACAATTCTCAATGTCTGAACCACATTAGCGGCGTGCTAATTGTGGGTTACAAAAAATTAAAGATTTGTAGAGTTCCGGGCCTTCTAGCCCAGCGTCGGGATAAAGACTCCCCATCAGACGACAGCTGTACTGGTTGTATTTGTCAGTCGTCCTACGCTAACCAACGGAAGTCTCCCTTAAAGGTTTGTTTGGATACACATATTATTCCAAATAATATTTTACTTACATCATAAACACATTTTTCAACCCACCTTTTTATATTTCCAATCAACTTTTTATCTCACATATATCACATCATAAAAAGTGCTACAGTAATTATTCCAAATGATACTTTATCCAAACAAACCCGCTAGCCACGTGCAAAATTGTAACGGCTGTTGTGCTTTTTTAGGTTTTTGTTTTTTTCTTTTACGATGCAGGTGAAAAATTTCATATCCAGAACTTGTTACTTGCAGTCTCCCATCATCTCGTATCATGTAATTCATCCCTTCTTAGTTAGTCTATTGTGCTTCTTATTTTGTTTCCCAGTTCCTTTTTTTTTTTTTTTAATTTAGGTTATGAATAATGTTAATCCATCCAGTTAAAAATTCTATTTTTGCTTAAAATGGTAACCGCAATGGTGATCTGTTTTTTGTCTCTATTTTTGGATTTAAGAAGAATATGAGTCGATCCATCTCTCGATCGATAGAGAGAATCTAGACGTAGGGCAAATTGTACTTTAAATCTGAATTCGATTTATTCCAAGGACTAAAATGGGTCCGCAAAATCACACCTTACCGGATGAATGAAGCATCGCCTTCCTTTACAACTTGCATTTCCTGTCGAAGCCGTTAATTTCAAATGCGAAGACACTCGTCTCTGGGGACAAAATCTTTGGAATGTATAGTGGGCCTATTGGCATCCAAATGACCAAAGAACATACGCTGACGAATGCTGAGACTTGAGATGCTCAGGGCGTTTCGGTTTAACAACCACCTGCTGCTGAGTTGCTCTTTGGATTGAAGCCCAAATTATATCACTTCATAGCCCAATATTATCGATTCTATCATTTTGCTTGATTGTACCTTCAAAGCTTTACTTTCAAAGTTGCACCGTAGTTTTTTTTTTTTTTTTTTTTTAATTGGTAGACAAAAGTTTGGATAAATTCGACTTCGATTATACAGATTGTCTATTAAATCAGTGGCAGTGTGATTCTTCAAACACACAACCTTTTCCTGCTTTTTTTCTATAAAGTAGTTTTCAAGTGAGAAAGGAAAAGGCACAAAATTTTTTTTTATTTCTCAAAATAAAGGGACAGGAGGAAATACTCCCTAAACTTTAACTATCCTTTGGCAACCGAATTTTAGAATTCGGTTGATGTAAAAACACTTGCCGAACGAACGTCTTGGTGTGTTTATCACATCTTTACCACCAATTCTTAAGGTTAAGATGATCTTCGAATTATCATGCTAGCGAATTTTAGACTCCTGATTTAGGGATAATCTCAGATACATCCTTTAAAGGTTTCAAAAATTACACCGACCTCCTTAATTTTTGTATTTTTGGTAACAATTCAGTCCGATGACATTTAAAATAGTATTTTCACGTGTGAGATGGTATTTCTATTCCACAAAATAATGTAAAATAATCATACCTTGTCCAGGCGGCGAATATTAACATTTTGATTTATTGTCGGATAAACTAAATTGAAGCATGTTCTGCAACTCGCTCCTCCTACAGACTACACTGCTATTGTTATGGCAGACTCGATTGAAGCTTGTTTATTATTAGTATTATCTTACTTTATGAAAAAACAACAAACTATTGACCTACTCCTTTCCTGGTTCGAGTATCATTTCTTTCGGCCTCCTCTTCTTGTGTTTCAGCCAATAGACTTGTGATGTTTCCCTGATTGCTCAGAACTTCAGACAATCAAGATCCAAGTATTAAGCTCCTGCTTCCACCCTCTGACTCTTTTAAGTGGGGATGAAAAAACTCGAGTCCTGGAGCTGGGAAGTTTTGGTGCAATCAGAGTTCATAACGTCAACTCGCGAAATGGTCAACCGACAG